GATAATTAGGAATCAGGAGTTTGCTAGACGGATCTCTTCAGCGAGACACTCTTTCATCGTTCCAAAGAGTGGGAGTCCTGACAGAAGAGGCCTGGTCACCTCTGCTCCTCAGCTGGGATTGTGGAATGGCCAGTGGGGTCTTTATTATCTCTATCTCTCAGTCTCTTTATACTGTACCTACTGGTAAGAGACGAGTATGTGTTGACAATGTGAATGTGCTCCCCTGCTCTGTATTTATGTTGTGATCTTACAGTTTTGTTGACCATTCAAAATACTTTACAATGCAACTTGCATTCACACACGTTCATATAGTGCTCATGTACACTGCACTTTCTCTTGTCACCCTCCATTCACACACTGTCAGAGGCAATTTCCGAATCTTGCCCAAGGACACTTCAGAATGAACAGTAGAATAGCCAGGGATTGAACCATCAACCTGATTAATGGGTCAGGGTAAGAAAAAATAATGGCATACAGGTTGTATGTCTTCAGTTAAAGGGACGGGAGTAGTGGCAAAATACTATCTCCTGAATATTGTGTTTACATAATTCATTTTGATTTTTTATTTACATGACTGATTTTCATATTTTGTTTTGTTAACCTATTTCAAAAAACATGTTCATGTGTTTTGGAATGTTTCATTCAGTTGTGCAGCCTTTATTTAACTCTGTGTGTTTATCTGTATATTTGATCATCCCTGAGGTTGGTGTATTTCTTATGGAGACAATAAAAAGCATAATTAAAAAAACGAAAAGAAAACTGAGGCACATTTGCAAAGCGAGACAGAAGAAAGGATGTTCAAAGACTTTGTGCTCCTCAAATCTTCACTCATTGGTCCACTCCCACTGTCTTTGGAAGGAGCCTGACTGCTGCTCTACCTGAACATGTTAATCATACATAACATCCAGACACTGAGTTTTTCATGCATGTTCAAAACAGTCTGCTCCTGCCTCTATTTGAAGGGTGGTGTGTATCCATGCAGCCTGTGTATCTCTGGATGTGCATGTGTGAGTGTGTGTTGTCCAGCCTGTTCACGGGTGCATAGAGTCCATGTCTTCTGCTTCCCTGCTGCCCTCAGTGGGACACAACCCTCTTTCTACCCCTCTCCCTCTGCACCTCTGCCTCCCACCCTCCTCAACCCTCCGCCCACCCCTCTCCACTCTCACCTCTCTCTCTCTTTCTCCTGAGTGGACTTTTTTTCAGGGTTGTGCACATAGCCCCCCCCCCCACCCTTCCTCTCGGACAGTTTTGCTCCACCAGTTTCGCACTGTGCCGGGGCCTGGAGAGGAGTGAGGGAGCGGAAAGAGCAGCGAGAAGAGAGGATTTGGTGAACCGAGGAGAGACTGACGGGGGAGAGAGGGACCATGGCTGCTCTCTCTGCCTTGCTGAAGACCTGGGTGATACTGCAGACCTTGTGTCTGGCTCTAGCCCAAGTGGTGAGTGGGACAGGGGGAGGCCGAGACCTGCTCTGCTGAGGGCTTTGCCTCTTTATTCTGAGGGTTCAGGGAGGGTAAGGGCCCCTGGAAAGGGCCTGTGAGCTCTGGGTGTCTTGAGGTGATGTTGTGGGCTGTTTGCTGTCTTGGTGTTGGTTAATGTGATCAAAATTGGTTGTTGAATCTTGACACTTGAGAATGCATGCATGTAAAAAACTAGCAATCAAGATGATCCTTGATCAAGGTGAGCTTGAAATGTTTTTGCTGCTGTGGGGACAAAATGAAACTGGGACTATCTTCTGTGGATTATCATCCTCCGAGTTTGGACTCTCTTCTCCCATTGCTTCAGAGGATTTCACCGGGGTCACCTTGTTTTTCAAGAAGACTTTTATTCATGGGAAATGGAAGAAAATATAAGTTTTTTTTCTGTATTTTCATCGGCAAACTCAACAGCAAGGAGAGAGATGGAAATCAGTGGACTGGACACACACACATGCAGACACACATTTTGCCCACTGGGTGTGAAAATCCCTATTCAAACAGACACCTACATGTTATCTACTGGATTTCACTCTTAAGGATTATTTTCTTTTTCTTATTGTTTGTATTTTTTGGTACATTTTTCTTGAGCATTCGAAGAATCCAGAGTTGGATTAACACCTGATGAACTGGCTGATCCACTGACATGATGGTATTCAATAGAGGCTGAGGAGACAGTGAGGTGGAGGGGAGGGGGGGGGGGTAAACAGTCCCAGCCTCATGACCCCCTCCTCCCACATTCCTCCTCACTCCTTTGTTTTTACCTCTTTACTTACAACCAATTATTTTTAATATTACCCTCAATTTCTCCACAGCAACATGCCCAGAATGGACTGATGTGTTATAACAAATACGACTTTATGCAATATTTACTTTTGCTGCATTACCTGTTGTTGACAAATTGATAAGAGAGGATATAATCTTTAAAG